AGAGAGAGAGAGAAAGAGAGAGAGAGAGAGAGAGAGAGAGAGAGAGAGAAAGAGAGAAAGAGAGAGTGAGAGGGAAAGAGAGAGTGAGAGAGAGTGAGAGCGAGAGAAAGACAGAGAGAGCGTACGTAACGCGAGGTCTTTAACGTGACACTACCGCTGACACGGAAGACATGCGTTGAGACATGCGTTGAGACATGCGTACGTTGAGACATGCGTTAAGACATGCGTTGAGACATGCGTTGAGACATGCGTTGAGACATGCGTTGAGACATGCGTTGAGACATGCGTTGAGACAGGCGTTGAGACAGGCGTTGAAAGCTGATAATACTACGAATATACTTAACAGTAATTCTTACGCTGATGTTAACTAGCTAATACATATTTGTGAATGTGTGTCTGTTTGTCTGTTCTTGATGCAAATCAATGCGGAGCACTCTAGAAATGTCAAAGGTGGACAATAGGGGTAAACTTTGGTGCTGAATGTCATGTGCACATTGGATTTGACTTCCAAGGTCATCTAAGCCAAAAAACGGAAAAAAAACGAAAAATATACTGACCTCTGCAGCAGCATTAAATACGCTAAACGGGATTCACTTTGCACTTTGTTGTTTGGGATTACTGTACAATGCGCGATTACATTGCGTTACTATACATGCATGTATACATAGATAGATAGATAGATAGGTGTGTTGAGTGTGTGTGTGTGTGTTCTGTTGTGTGTGTGTGTGTGTGTGTGTGGATGTTGTGTGTGGCGTGCGTGGCGTGCGTGCGTCGTGCGTGTTTGGCGCAAACGGCCAAGTCCTACATTCGATCGTCGAAATCATATTTACACAGCCTGTGGGACCCGTTGTCAGAAACATCGTAAAGTGTAATGCTAATGTTAAGCTGAGATTAACACTTACGATCTAATGTTAATGTATGAGAGGCTAGTAGCGTTGACAGAAACACATCGCAGCTATTAGAAACTTACGAATAAGCAGGAAACTTCATCACAAAGGCTGCTGCATTGGATGAGAAAATCGATCCAAAATTCAAATTCATACCACATTTATTGTAAGCATCAAGCAGTAATATTATGCATATTAGATGGCTTATAACCACATATAAATAATATTTTGATGAAAAAACGACGCGTCATGAATTTATTCTGGCACAACAAGACAAATTGTCACACTGTAACACGAGACGAGAGAGTTCCGTGTCAGTGTCAAAGTATTTAAAACAAAAAAACAAATGTCATACGCCATTTGTAAAATGGTTTGTTGTTTTATGATCGTAGATAATTAATGATTTTTAAACAGTGTTTTTACAAGAAAAGCACAAATTTTAATTCATTATTAATAAATACAATATCACTATAATGTAATTCGTAGTGTAAATGTGTTATTTTCATCTAGAATATTAAAGTTACGACAAGAGGGTGCCTGGTTCTCGTAATGTAAGGGATCATTTTCGAGGATTTTTTATATTCTCGCAACTTTGCGATGTTTCGTCAACGGTTTATCCGAGTGAAGTTAATAGTTATGACTAATGTTAAGACAATTTTGTTCTGACAACGGGCCCGGCCAGATGTGTGGACAATGTTCGCACAACCTATCCGCTGCTAATTTCTAGGTTATCAAATGGCGCCTTTATGGTTATTGGTTAGGGTTAGGTTAGAATTGTAGGGCTAGGTTTAGAGTTGTTATGAGGTTAGGGATAGAGTTAGGTTAGGTTTAGGAATGGGTTTAGATTAGAGTTAGGGATTTTAAAGAATAGGCGTTAGGGGTAGGGTTAGGTTAAAGATTAGGAT